AGCGCTAGGTGCTGTACAAATACAAAACAAAAAGAGGGGTCCTACCCCAAAGTGCTTAGAGCCACACACTAACATTATCAAGAAAAAACCATAACCTTGCTGTTAAATGACTCCCCGTGACCTTACAAAGGAGCATCACAAACTCCTCTTAAAGAATAACAGCTTGGGATGTTACTTTCTCCCACAAAACAATTTTGACAAGCTGGAAAAGCCTGGCATATCATCAGGTGTGAACAATACAAGCCAGGGATGGAAAAGAGCCCAAGAGCCAAACACCTGTGGCCACTTATCCCCTCTCTTGGGGAGCGGGATAAGATCCATAATCGAGGGGAGGGGAGTTAAATAAATCACCCGTGTGGAACATGCTAACTTTTTGGCCTTAAGTGACACCTAGTGGAAATCAATTGCATGAGGGAAAGATGTTCAAGTTAGCCGTGAAACACCCGTCCATCTCGCAGGGCCAGGGTTTCACCCCATGAACTTCTGTCTGCACCTTCCCAGCAGCCGGCAGCTTGAAAATTTAGCAGGAGCACTGCAATTAGTTTGTCCCACCGTGAGCAGTGGAGAAAAAGCCAAGGTCCCTCGGGCCCCTTTGCTCTCCTGGATCAGAATAAGTTCATCTATGACGGAGGGATCCAGGGGACAAGAATACCAGAGCTCCCTAGGAACTGCTCCTCAATGGACTCTGCATTTAAGGCATAGACCGAGAAGCCTGACCTCTCAGTGTGGCCTGCCTGTCCCAATTCATCCTCCGCTGCTCCTGGGAGCCAGGGATTTTCTGCTTGCCATAGCAGGGTCCAGCCAATCGACCCAAACACAGCCCGAGGCTGCACTTATGGGAAGAGCAGAGCCAAAGCCTTGCAAGGAAACTTGAAACCCAGCGAGATTTGGATTAGCAACCCGAAACTCGGGCCAGGTTTGCAAGCCTGTCGGAAGAAGTTGGCTGTGTGTCAGGCAAGTCTGGGCTGCGTTTCAAGTCAGCTGGGGCTGACCTTTGTGCAAGCCCACTGCAGACTTGTCAGGGAACGTGGGTCTGAATGTTAAGAGAGCTCGGGGACTGAATGTCAAGTGAAGATAGAGCCGGTTGATGGATCTGGGCAGAAACAATACAAACCTCTGTGGTTAGGGGTGATCTTTCCCAGTGACCCACCTTCCCCCAAACAAGCAAAACCAGATGGGTGGTTTCAGCTCACTTCACTTGGAGTTTCAGTGCACATTTAACCTGCTAGACAGCATGGGATTCAGATCCAGCGCGGTGTCAGAGCCGCCGAAGGTCTGGCCGCATTGGAGCTCCCAGCTGGGGAGGGGTTTTTTTTGGAGGGGGGTTAATATTCTGTATTCAAAGCCAAATTTGCCAAATAAAATTCCAAATCTGTGAGTCAGCCCAGAACCATAAGTGGCCCTACTACCAGCAAACATCCTCCACCCACATCTGGGGCTTCAGATGTTTCGAAAACCTTAGGTGAGCATCCTACTTGCAGGCCCAAGCCCGGAGGCCCCTAAGTTTTGCTAGCCCTCAGCTGTAAGGTCCCAGGGGCAAGCCAGGGAGGAGTCTCCCATTTCCATAAAGTGGGCTTAAAGCCAAGACCATCTCACTCCAGCAGCTAAGTGGGAGGTTTACTATACATTACCTTGGCAGGTACTATCCCCGTGCCAGGACAGCGGTGCAACTAGGAAGACCACCTCCATGGTCACGGTGTTTCCCTTGCCAGGTAAGCATAGACTACGCTTGATTTGAGCCAATAAGCTCTGTGGCTGAAAAGCTGCCAAGGTTTCAAGGTCTGAGCTACAGGGGCCACAGGTTTAATCCCTGCAGCCATCCAAAAAAAAAAAAAGGCTTCTTTGAGAGAAGAAGTTCAGCTGAGACCCAGAGGAAAGCCATACCCTGATCCCTGTGGGATGCGGCTCTCTTGAGTCTTCACTGCTGCATGTAGGCAGGATAGAAGAAGGCTTGCCCAGAAATATTCCCAAAGCCAGTGCAGCCATCAAATGGATGGCTCTGTTGCAACCTGTGCTTTTTTGAGAATAAAAATCTAGTCAAAGTCAAGAGGGAGCTGATGGCAGTCGGGGCGTTACATTTTCATGGCGGATGGATGACAGGAACACGTAAATGCAAAGGCAGGCACACAGACACAGCAGCACTGGGAGCACTGGCCTAAGGCAAGATGTAGAGGGCATCCTGCGTGCCGTTAGGCAGGGCACTGTCAGGTCAGCATTTCCCAGCCCCGGTAGCACGTCAGTTCTAGGAGATGTGGACATGGGTCTGTCTCATCCTTTGCACTGCAAATCCATTAACCCCCTTCCCCGCACTGCAGCCCTTTTGAGCCAGCCCTAGATCAGTGTGTGGAGGGGAGGCTGCCTAAAGAGACCCCACTTTCACAGTTTGCCTCCGTCTTTGCTTGAATACTAAATCCTCAGCAGCTTTGGCTACCAAGTTCTGGTTCTCACTGCTCCCAACCTCCTGAGCCCAGGCGCTGCTCTCCAATACAGCTCATTTTGAAAACCATTGCTCAGGGTTGCTTAGAAATCACATTCAGCAGCTGTCTGGTGGCCTTTCCCCTCCCTTCTACATTTGAAATACATTTGCACCAGGGGCAAACAAAAGGTTTTGCAAGCCTGAAATCCCCCAGGCCCATCTTCCACCCACGAGGAAGGGTGCCCACAGCACAGTCTCCTTGCAAAAATGCATCGGTGTGTCCTACATTCCTATTCTTTGTCCCATGTTGCTTTCCCCAGGGTCTGGCTCAGAGCGCCCTGGTCTGTGGTTTTATTTCAGTCCCATCTCTAATGACATGTTTATGTGATAGCTATTTATACAAATGTCCTTAACACCAAAGTCTCCATGCTCAGCAGAGGTCGGGCTCCATGGCAGAGAGAGAGAAACAGGACCACTCTTTTCTCAGCAGGTGGCACTCGCTAGCTAGCACTAAGTGCATTGCTTGCTGGTTACCTACAGTGGTCTGGCTGTTTCAGCACAGTCCATGCAGGGGCAGTGAAAAACCTGTGCCCGCATGGGGCCGGGAGCTGGCTGGAGATTGCACTGTGGTTCTGCAGTTGCATGTGCTAGGTAGTAAAACTGAACCTCTGCCTGGGGCCCATGTAAGAGTAAAACCCGCTGCTAAGCAGAGGTCGCCCTAGTCTGATGGGTGACCTACCCAGCCTGGAAGAACTGTCTGCTTCAGAAAGGACAGCACCGCATCCCACCCACCGCAAGGCAATATGATATCCCCTCATGGCTAGAGCTGCTGGACTGCCTTCATAAGCCACACAACGCCCTCTCTGCAGCCGGCATGTGGCTATGGGCAGCAGCACGTTGGGGAGTCTTGTCCTTGAAGTCCTCTGCTATTCTTTTATGGTCAGGCTGGAGGAAACCAAAGAAGTGCTAACAGATGCGTCATTTCCCCCAGGACGGTGTGTGGGCTCAACCCCGGACAGCTAAATACATACTTGGATGCTTCTTGAGCCGAGACTTGTTTGCGTCTCGGAGCCCCGGGTGGGAGACGCGCTGGGGTGTGCAGTTCCTGTCGGGTTTGGCGTGCGGCTGCCCCGGCGTCGGTTTTCAGTGTGACACTGATAATGCGGCCTGCCAGCCCGCTTTTGGCTTTCGCTTCCGTCTCGCTGAGCCTGGCTCTTTTATGTCCTGTGCTGTGGTTTGCAAGGCACGGTCTGAAGGGTTCGCTGACTCAACCCCGGGCTGCGGGAGTTGAAGGAAGGAAGCTGGCTGCAGCCAAGGAAAGGAAGCCAGTCGTTTCCCTTCTGCGTCCACGCGAGTGGGGGCGGGAGGGAGGATGTAGCCTGATAAAAATGAGATGGGAAGAGACATCAGACCCACTTTCTCCCACATGCTCTTGGCTTGACAAACCCCCCAGCACGTGCCAGCCCTCAGGGCAGTGGAGGAAGAGAGCTGTGGTCAGTGTTTGCCCAGTGCTGAGCAGCAAGTCCAGACTCACGCGAACGCACCGCCTCTGGGCTCCCTGTGCCTGTAGCAATTGCATTCAGCCGCAAGAGGGAGACTCTTCCCTGTGCCAAATTTCCAGAAAAGGAGCAGCCAGCTGAGCTTTTCCTGCAGGTTGGAGTCCAGTTTCTTTATCTGCCCCAGGCAGCCTAGGATCATGGCATATATGGCTTGTGAGCCATTTCTTAGGGACTTCAGAGCCAGGGACTGTGTCCATATCATGCAGCATTCTTCCAGCACGGCGTTCCCCTGGCCTTCTTCCAATCAAACCAAGCATCCTTCCAGCAGCCAGGGCAGTGTTTCTTCTGGCCAGGGGACCAGGGACCAAATTGTGCATGAGTCCTGGGCCACTGGGGCATGGAGCATGCAGAGTCAGTCTGGGCATCTCTGGCATCTCCTGCCATGCATTTGTTGCAGGAATGGTAGGAAGTGGTAGGGAGGAGAAGGCACTGGGCATCAGAAGACCTGTTGGCACTGCCACTGCCCTGCTTTGTGACCACTGCCGCAGTCCAGCATCATCTCTGTCAGCACCCAATGCCACACACTCCAGAGAACCAGGGGACGCTGCCATTGTGTGCCCCTTTATGTGATGCTACTGTTGGAGGGAGTCATCCCTAACCCCCAGAGTCACTTGCTGAGGTCAAGCTTTGCTCTTCAATAGCAGCAAGCACCTCAGAAAGGCCCCATAGATGGGGACATTACACCCCAGAGCAGGAAGGCTCCATGACAGCTCTCCTAGAAATGTCTCCTCTTAACAACTCACTGTGCTGTTTGCCTCGGACAGGTGCCCAGCTGCTGCCTGTTGCTTTACAGGGCAGGGGTTGGCATCCTGGGAAACTCCTATCCGTGCTCTGGGGCTTCTGTGTGGAGCTTGGGGCAGCAAGCTCTCTCCTGGACCTTGCATCCACCCCTTCCTGGCCCACTGCCCATCATCCCAGTCATGCTCCAAATCCAGAGCTGAAATGAGCCCCACAGGTCAGCAGGA